TATTAGTATTACTACTACTACTACTACTACTACTACTACTGCTTCTACTACTGCTTCTACTACTGCTACTACTGCTACTGCTACTACTACTACTACTACTACTACTACTACTGCTACTACTACTACTAGTAGTAGTAGTAGTAGTAGTACTACTACTACTACTACTACTACTACTACTCCAACTCCTAGTGTACTGGACCCTTTGTGCTGGATTCGCTTATGGTAGTAAGTAGGGATTTCTTTCGAAGTACCAAATTTCTGACATGTCGCCGCAGCATCTCCCCTCTGAAACCCTGACTTCTGAACCCGAACATGCGTGCGTCAGCAATCTGATTGGCAGGCCCAATCGGGGCAGCGACAGATGCTTATCTTGCGGCCGAGTCTCGCAAGGATCGAGTCATGCTGGGGGAGTCATTCTGGGAGACGCTTCGCACTTTTGTAAGCTTCCGTAAACAAGTCCCACAGCTTAGCACGATCATCACCACCTCTTCTGGAACAGTCACTGGTGCACCATCACTAGCTCCCTTGCTAGCATCAGCATCGGCGCTAATCAGGAGCACCGCAGATGGCTAATTACTTGGGGTTTCGTAATGGCTAGTGATATCCCCCCCATATTCCGTCTATAAGTATACTGTAGATAGCACCGCCATGCCTTGCTCTCATTATGAAACAGCTTTTGCCGTTTCACGCCCGCGTAAGCCGTCATAGGACAGGGTCGAACGGGAGCCGCATCGTCCTGAGCCACAAAATCCCGAATCGCCAAATCGAGCCATAAACCTGGAATCCCTAAACCCAAAACCCAAAACCCTAAACCCTAAACCCTAAACCCTAAACCCTAAACCCTAAACTCCTGAATCCCAAGCACCAAAGCCTAAAGCCCTCGGGCTTCTGTTTTTGGGGACTGCAGCGAAACCTACACCCAAACAAAACCTCAAACCCCCAAAGCCCAAAGCTCCAACCCCCCAAACCTCTAAACCCCGTTTCAGTCGCAAGGCATCCAATGCTGCCGTCGTCGCCAACGAGGTGGGAACCCCCCTTTGGTTCAGGGTTTGGGGGTTAGGGGTTCGGGGTGTGGGGTTTAGGGTTGAGGGTTCATATAGAAGTTTGGATAACAAGTTATCCGTATTGTGTGTTAGGGCTCCCTATCATATATATATATATATATCAATATACGGTATATTATGACCCCAGAACCCTATTCTGATTAGTAAGGCCCCTGTTTCATACTATGCTGCAGGGCTTAGGGCTTTGGGTAGCAGAGGAATTATCCCTAGGCTTGAGAACTTGGCGAACGCTTTGGGTTTGAGTGTTTGTTGTACTTGTTTCGGGAACTTGTTTTTGCAGTGTGAAGTGGAAAGGTGTTTGTGCACAGCATCTTCCCTCCTGCTTGGCTTTCCCTTCGGAATCGTCTTCTCAGTATGATTGCCTCTCTCATTTCCGTCATCAGTTTGCTGCTAGTTTTATCATCGCCATGTCGCTGTTACTTCGCATGCTCACAATGTTTCAGCCAATTGCTTTGTACTGCAAGGCGTTCAGATGCTTTCAGGCTCTGTCGCAAACGCAATACTTGCAGTGTCATTATCAGCACGGCTCAACATGGATGCCCCGAAGGCGAAACCAGAAACCCCCCACACACCGAAATCCTCCGCAAGAAGTGTGGCTCGTCGGGGTTGCACTTTGCAATTGGGGTGATTGGTGGACACAGGTACCGGGGGATCTAGATGTTCGTGCTATGCTTCTACCCATCGTGGTGCATATGCTAGGACAGTAGTGTAAGTGGACGTGCTCGAAACAGTCGTACTTGTGCTGCTCGTGCTCGATTGCAGAGGAAAAGTACTGGCACGAATCGGCCTCACGTCGTTGGCTTAAGAAGCCGCGAGGAAGAGAAGCAAACATGAGTAAGGTGTGCCAAAAGCACCAGACCCCAAACGGTATCAAGGTGAATTAGACCAACAATGCTGCGTAGAGCATAATATGATAGGGACGAGAATGAGGGATGACGACGATGAGGAGGACGAGGATGAAGATGAAACTCAACACTGACGGCGACGATGATGACGGCGGTGATTCTTATTCTGACTTTGAGAATGATAGTGGTGGTGGTGGTGTTGCCATGGTGATGATGACGATGACGATGGCGCTGATGGTGGTTGGTGGCGGTGATAGTGATCGTGACGATGGTGTCGTGGCTGTAGTACATGACGGTTGTGGTGCTGTTGCTGCTGCTGCTGCTGCTGCTGGTGGTGGTGGTGCTGCTGCTGCTGACGCTGTTGTTGTTGGTGGTCAACGGTGTGCTGCTGATGCCGATGCTGATGCTGCTGTTGTCGCTGTTGGCAACGATGATGCAGATGATATGGTGATGGTGCTGGCAAAGATGGCAATGAAGACATATGAAGGCGGGCTATGATGATGGGGTCATCGATGGCAAGGATACCTATGATGATGGTGATGACAACGATGAGGGAGAGGAGGGGTAGGAGGATGGTGGTGACGAACAAGGACTCCTCGGAAACTGTTGTAGCTCGTCCTCTCAGAACCTAGGGGCCTCAATGGGTTTTGGGGTTATATACCATAATTATAATAAGGAGCCCCCAAAAGAGTATAGGTAATTTATTGAGGCCCCTATATTACATCCCCTGAGAACTCCAGTGCATCTCTGGGGGCTTTCTAGCTGCAGGCTATGCCATACTGTTGATGGACAAAATCCTGCATTACCCATTATAAGGAATATACCATAATTCCCATAGTTTAGGGTCCTTAAGGTCATGCAGGATTTTGTCCATCAACCGTAGGGGCTTAATCAGTGCGCCCGTCCGGGTCTCCAGCCTTTTTGCACAGACCTAAACCCTCGACCCTGAACCAGAAAAATGTCTGAAGCAAGAAACCCTAAAACCTAAACCTCTAAACCCTAAACCCTAAACCAGAAAGATGTCTGAAGCAAGTCCGAAGCCCTGAGCGCCCCGAAGATTCTGCAGGAGAGCTCCGCGTTGCAGCACCGGGCGACGGTAGAAGGTGCTCCATGGAGCCACATGATGGTCCGACTTAATCAGTTCAGAACCCCAGTTGCAAGAATAGTGGGGTCCGATCATACTTGAAAGACATGAAGTAGTAGCCCCACGTAAAGTATAAGCCCTCCTGAAGGGAAGTGTCTCACTCTAGGCATTTTTGGCCCCCTATATGGGTAGTTGTCAAAATTATGGTCCCTTTTGGGGTACCCTAAATAATAGGTGCCGGATTATAATAAGGACCCCAAAAGGGAACATAATTTTGACAACCACCCATATTGCTTGAGTCCCATTCTCCGAGCGTGGGGGCGCCAGGGGGGTTGGAGCCTCGCAGGTTGGCTCAGTTAGTCGGTTTAGGGTCTGGGGTTTAGGGTTTAGGGTTTAGGGTTTAGGGTTTAGGGTTTTAGGGTTTAGGGGTTTAGGGTTTAGGGTTTAGGGTTTAGGGTTTAGGGTTTAGGGGCGGTTGTGTCTAGCTTGTTATGGTTACTACGTTGTTTATAGTTTATTGCGGTGTTCATTCTCAGTAGTATCAGTGTTCTTCTTCTTCTTATGCTGACTATTGTTGTTGTTACCCTTAAACCCTAGGCCCTAAAGCACTACGCTGTTGCATAATGGACCTCGAAACTCGCCCACCTGCAGACTTGGCTTCAAAGGGCTTTGGAGCCTGCGTGCTGAAGGGTCTCGTGGTTCAGGTGCTTCGAATTTGAAGGCTCGGGGCTCAGGGTTTAAGATTTAGGGTTTGAGGTTTGAGGCTTAGAGTTGAGGGGGCTGTCCTGCTGACGCTACCTTTGTTTCTGGGATGCTTGCCATCCATTATATCGGCATTGCAAGCAGGGGTTGCACGCCACAACGGAAGACTTCTGCCGGTCCTGCCTGATTTGAGCAGATATCTCAGGCACCTTCACTTCTAAGCCAGCTTCTTGCATAGTGGCGCTCCATGAACCCCAAACCCTTCACATGTGCAACTCACGCCCGCTACGTCCTAAACATGCCGGCGCCAGACCCTCACGACACAAAGGTTTAGCTCAAACCTTAACCCTAAACCGCCTAAACCAGCAAAAAGCCATAAACCCCGAACCCCATGCCCTAAACCCTATTCGCCCTACCCTGAACTGTAAGAGATCCTTAACCCTAAACCCTAAACCCTAAACCCTAAACCCTAAACCCTAAACCCTAACAGGCTTTAAGCCCTAAAGCTCTCACTTCGGGGCTTTTCGGCCAGGCTGGCTGTGGGTTCACACCGGGGCTCTGCTGCCCGGCTCCTTGGGCAGTCTCGCGCCCAGTCGCAGGACTTTTTCAGGGTTTAGTTTGGGTTTAGGGTTTAGGGTTCAGGGTTTAGGGTTTAGGGTTCAGGGTTTAGGGTTCAGGGCTTACGAACTGGCAATAGGTTTCCTCAGGCTTTTTTTATGGCTATGCTGCATTACATTGCACCTCAAAGCCATGTCTTAGTCCCTATACGAGAGGCTTCATGCGGATAAGGAAACTGATAAACCCTAAACCCTACACCGTGTGGGATTTGAAGGGCTGGGTGTTTTATGGTCGTTTTTCGGTCTCCCTGTTGCCAGGGGCTCTGCGATATGAGGGTGTATAATACTTGGGCCTTAAATAATTACCAATGCCATTTTGGGCTTCCTGATTGTAAGTATAGTATAATGGGCCCCAAAACCCTGTTCTAAGTATTCAGGCCCCTAAACCCTAAACCCTAAACCCTAAACCCTAAACCCTAAACCCTAAACCCTAAACCTTATTGGTATTGGGATCTTCAATCTGTCAGAAGGCCTGGGGGCTTCGGGCTCGAAGGGCTCTGGGCTCAGTATGACTCCCTAAATCCTAAACCCTAAACCCTAAAACCCTAAACCCTAAACGCCAAACTCCTAAACCCCTAAACCCCAAAACCCTAAACCCTAAACCCCTAAACCCCTAACCCTAAACCCTAAACCCCTAAACCCCAAAACCCTAAACCCCAAACCCTAAACCCTGATCCCCAACCAGCAACGTCCGCGCCAAGGCTCCGAGTGGGCGCAAAACTCGACAGTCAGCTCGGACCCTGTGCCACAGGAGGCATCCTTCACCGTTTCTGGGTTTAGGGTAAAAGGTTTAGGGTTCAGGGTTTAAGGTTTAGGGTTCAGGGTTTGCGGTTTAGGGTTCAGGGTTTAAGGTTGTGCTGGGGTTTCAAGGTCTTTTTCTTGAGTTGAGTTTTTCAGGGTGGATGGGGGAGGTGGGAATTCGGTAGCTGTCTTGTCTTGTGCTCTTGGCACCTGCTGTTTCGCTTCGAATGCAAAAGCATGAAACCCTGAACCCGGTCCTGAAGCTTCAACCCCAAAACCCTACAGCCCGAAGCCGTGAACAAGCACCCGAAGAACCCTGAACCACCGACCCTAAAAT